TGTCTAGAATAGTTAAAGATTTTTCTAAAGTGATCTGCATATTTGCTTTCCTTTCTGTATTAGCTGTGAATGTTATCCTCATTTTTGGCTTTGTTTGGCACATTTCTTCCATTTACTCCCCTGCTGAAATGCTTTGTCTTTTCCCACTATAGCAGCAGCATCTGCTTTATCTCTTATATTTTTCATGTTTCTCTGTCTTTCACAACAATATGCTTTTCATTAGTGGTTTAGTTTCTGCTATTCCCTTTGTGCCTTCATTCATTTTTTTCTTTTTTTCTTTTTGGTTTTTTTTTTAGCACTTTGGAGTTCTCCCTCTTGGTTTTTCTCTCTCTGCAAAGGGATACATTTTCTACTTGTTCTTTTCTCCATTTATGAGTCTTGCAGTTTAGTAACATTGCTGCTGAGCTAATCTCAGTGCTGCTGAGTCACTTTCACCCGTGTTTGAAAAGCCTCAAATGAATTCCTTAGCACCAATCTGAGTTTTCTCCCAGTTTCTTTCTGTAGCTCCATTTTGTACTGTTTGCCAGTTCTGGCTAACACTTCAAGTCACTAATTTCATTATAGGTTGGCAATACAAGATTTTGGTCGGTGCTGCCAGTGATAGCTTGCCATAACTATGGCTTGGACAAGTGCCTTAAATCTTAATTTGTCCGTTGTCTACTTTGTTTTGCCATCTACCAAATGCAACCATGCGTAGTTTATTTGTGTAACTACAATGATTTCAAGATTAGAAATGAAGTCTAACTTGATGACTCTTTTTTTGACAAAAAAATGGCTTTCTGACTCAGAGTGCAGTGTCCCATCTCAGGGCATGGTTTGTACTGCATTACTAAATACAGAGAACAGCAGAGGGTCCTTCCTGCTCCATCCTCCCATTTACAACAATAAGCAGTATGGATTTCCAGAACCAGATGTTTCACCAAACCCACTGTGATTAAATAACCAACACGATTCCTGCTAAACTCTTTTTGGATTGATTTCTACTTTGGAGTCCATTATACTCTGTGCCAGTGGGTGACATAAAGCAATTATAAATTGTGTAAAATGTCCACTTTACCTTTTTTAACCATTTGAAAGATCTGTTGAACTCCCTGTAGTTATATCTTAGACAGAACAGTGCCTATATGCGTACACGTCACCATCTCACCACCTTAAATGGTCCTATACCACATCTGCTGCACTGTTTTTTCCTCTGTCCTCTCTCATACTTACAAGTGCAGCTCACCAAGCCCCTTGAGATCATCATTTTTAAGAACTTTTGTCAATGGACCTGGGAAAAGTACTCTCATCCTCAGTAATGATCCACCTTCACAGAGTTACAAATACATTCATAAGGAAATCACACTCTCACAGAAGTCTACATCCCACACTTACTCATGAATCTAATAGCTCTGTTCTTTATTAACATTTCTATTAATTTCTCATTGTGCAAGTTGGACCTACTGATCTGTAGCTCTTGCCATCATTACTGGCAGTCACTATAAGTGCAGATGTCACATTTCCTATCTTCCATTCCTCCTCTACTACTATTACTGTATGCAGTGGCTTATTCCACAGTAAATATTTCAGTAGTTTTGTAGAGAAGTTTTTTTGGAAGTCTAAGGAGAACTACTGCGTGACCTACAGCAGAGTACTAGCTTTAGCAGGCAGATTGGACTTGATGGTCTCTTGAGGTTCCCTTCCAACCCCTGCAGTTCTGTGATTCTGTGACAATTCAGAAAATCTTTAAGAAGACTCTGAAGTTCTTCCAGCACTGGCTGACTTCTAGAAGCCGGTCATCATCATGCTGATTTATACCATTCATTTTGTCAAGATCCTCCAGTCACGGAATCACTTTGATTATAGATCATAATTTTTACACCCTCAGTCACTAATAAAGATCATGTCAGAATGAAAAGTGTATCTTCATATTCTATCAATAATGCTTTGGAAGTAATTGTTGAAATCATCTCTGTTCTCAGTGCTGTGATCTTTGGCAGTGGAACAACAGATCTTTTACCAAAAGCTGATCCTTTAGTAACTGTTTTAGACCTAGCATATATTCCACGCTCTTGATGAAACAAAGTTGATCCACAGCAGTTTCCACTATGAGTACCTTTCAGTCTTCATACGTGTGAACACTATGATGAGTAGTTGAGGAATTTCTTCTCTTTTCTGAAATACTTCTAACCTGCATCTGCTCTTCCAGATATGTCAATTCCTCCACTGCAATCTGAACAGTCCTTGTGGACCTTTTCTACTCTTTCTGTGTATTGTGAATTGCAGCTGCCAGGAATGGTTTTTCCCAACCGACTTTTTGCTGCTAACCTTAAACTTAGCTTTTTCAAATGAACATTTACCACAAACTCCCATGAAGTACAAGCATTGGGTAATGTTCTCTTTTGCATACTTTTACTGGAGTGGTAATCTGGTTGGTTTCCCTTTTTACTGACCATATTTAACTGATTGACTGCTATACAAAAACACAACATATCTTCACCCAATTCATTACAGCACTGGGGGTCAATTTAGTATTTTTAAATTCTGATCACTCTCTTTTGCAGTTTTAAAGATTTTGAATATTATTTCCTAATATGATAGCACTGTATAGTTCTTATATTAAAAATACCTTCTTCTAATTATTTAAATATTATAGTGCTACCTATCTAAATATTGTGAGAGATAACTGCCTTTCTGTCACCCACCCAGCACATGAGCTGTTTAACATAGTAATTCAATCACATATAGATACACAAACCTAATTATGGTTTGTTCCACTAACAGATGGAAGTTCTCAAAATGCACATACTTTGAATACTTCAATAGCTGTTCTTTCATGACTTTTCTCTCTTGGTAAAGAATACACAGTTACCACTGTTCATGCCAATTTTCTGTCATTATCAAATGCAACCAGCAGTTTTCTTATGTAAATACTTATTGTTCTCAGTATATTTGCCCTTGATAAAGGCTACCCATTTCATGTTAATCACATAATATTTTTTTTCTTTTTAAAATCATGCTGTACCAACAAGATAAAGAACATAAAAGGAATCCAAGAGAAAAAAAACCTCAGATGACTGACATGAAAAGCATTGGAACATCTATTTTTCAGTCTCTATTTCTTGAAAACATTGATCATGCAAGAAAAGACTTTTAATCATCATATTACTTTTTGTCTTCTTTTTCTTTGTGAGATACCCATTTAGAGCAAAGTCAACTCTCTTTGAAGATAGCACAATAATAATTGAATCCATCTCTGTCCAACTGCATGAAATGCAATGTCTCAGTGACATTACTTTTCTTTCTGGGGAAAAACAATAATGAATATTCCGTTTTATGCCTGATTCACATGTTCAAATGTCATGATAAATCTTTCAAGGTAACAGGTATTCTGGAAAAAAAAAAAAGTAGGCTTATGTTTTTTTATAGCTACTGAAAAGTTCTTTAGAAACAAGGAAAGGTGTGTATATGCTTCTTGGTTTACATTGGTACTAAATGTTCAGAGATACTGTCTGGTTCTTTACTCATATCTTACTTTGGAGGAATGGCTGATTGCCACAAAACTATAAATGTACCTTTCTTAATCAGTAGATTTTGTGAAATAGAAGATTTCTGTGTGCTTAATAAATATTTACTCTTTAAAGCAGTGAACATACGCAGGAAACCACATTTAAATATTCACCTGAAAGAGCAAGAACATGTCTAATTTCATTCATAAACTTCTTATGAAGCAATCAATACATCGTTGAGAAAAGAAATCAAGGCAAACTTACAGGAGCTGAAAATGAAGTAATCTACTGTTTTCAGTTTGCGGAACTAGAGAGAAAAGTCTTACTCACAAGGAACACTTCTTTCTTCATGATGTTTATTCTACACAGCCAATAAAACCAAGTAACATTACGAGGACTAAAATGTCTTAGAATTGGAAAGAAATTCTTCTACTAAGTTAACATTAGACAACTAAATAACTACCTACAAAACACTTTTCATAATGAAAAGCTTTATAAATACAGTTAAGTCAGTAATTTGAATCATTTGATGCAACTTCATTAAATGCAAAGACTATCAGAATCAGAGAAAAGAGCAGAAAAGAAAAAAAGAATGTCACTGTTCATTCTGTGATTTCCTGCCAGGATATTAAAGTCTTTCAAAATGAACCACACATTTGTAACACAGACAGTGTAGGATTAGGAAGACTGTGGGATCAAGTGTTCCAAAAACCAAAATGGAAATGCTTATCTAGTTTTTGGAAAATGGATGCTATTATTTTCAACAATACAGCATATTGTGTGCACACCTACGTCTTCCAAATGTAGGTAGTGAACATGTGCCAGCTTCCATTCATTTCTTCTTAGTAAATTGAAAGTTTCATAGAATATTCTGCATTTACTGAGGCAACAGTGAGATTGCATGAGATATTACTATACATATATTTTGAGTGAGGTAAAAGCAGAAAGTTCATTAGACCAGTAGATACTACATAAGTGTATCAACTGTAACAACAGTTTACAGATTCTCCTTAATATATCCATGCTCTAGAAAAAAAAACACACTACACAATCAAGCTTAAATTCCCTTGGACCTAGAATTATTTAGAGATTTCTCTTGGAAGATATTACTGTGCAGCTAGTGTCACAAATGTATTGAAACCAGACATCCTTCCCAGCAGTGGTAAAACAGCCAGACACTTTCTGCATCCAAATCCCATGTACCTCCTTGGTACTTGCATTATTGGTCTGACTTTCCAAAATGACTTCAAACATGATAGGTTTCCTTGATATTTACTGACCATCTATAAACATATGGAGAGGTCATTGGGAGACAACTGCTCAGCATTTTTTCAAAAACTACATTTAGTTTCCTCCATGCTTGCAGCAAAGCAGCATCTCATCTTCTGAAAAACAGCTGTAATCCTTACTCAAGAAGTTGACTGTCCTCCAAATGAGAAGCTGTACACCTAACATAAATGAGCCTGTACCACACAGTGAGCAGGAAGATTAAAGCAAAACAAGGCTGCTTACCTTTGCCTTGCGAAAATGGTAGACTACCAGCATGCTTATGAAGTCCAGCAGCATACAGAGCGTTTGGAATGAGATGATAGCAAGCCGTAAATACTTGTCCTCCTGTGCATAGCAGGGAGTATCATCTTTACAATTAGAACATCCTTCCCTGCAGGGCAGGCAGGTGTAGACTTCCTCTGACAAGTCCCCTCCAGAAAAGCGATTATCTGCATCCTTTCCTGAAAAAACGTAGTGGGGAAGGGGAAGCAACTTTAATTGTACAGCATGGGCAGCTCATTCATACAGGATCAAAACAGTTCTCTGCTTACTCCCCTTGCCTCCCTGTTCTCCTCTTTCATTAAAGCAATAAAGTAGTTTGCCAGGGCTGCTTTTGTCATTTCACCTCCTTTGTCACATTCAGGAAATACAGATCAATTCAGACAGGGGAAAAAGTGGATTTATTAAATACATTCCCATTGCATTTCAGATGGGCAAAATTTGCAAAGGACATTCTTTGAAGGATACTTCTGAATGGGAAAAAATTACATCAGAAATTTAGGAACAAGGACACAATTTTACACAGGCACATGAAAAACAGATCCATTAACTACCTAATGTTTACAGTACAAGCTCTGATCCTATTTGAGATTGTTTCTGAATTTCATAAAGACACTCTCTAGTGAAATAATTAGCTTCAAATCAAACAAAACCCCTCTTAATTAACATTTATTCAGCAAACTGATGTACGATTGCACTATTCTGTGCCCAGATCAAAACCAGCATATTTACACTATATAAATGTATAAATGCGTAATTTTCCACAGTTCACAGAAACACACTAGAAAACCTCGAAATCCAACTGGAAATTTAATATCCTGTCTGTGAAAATCAATTGCTCCTGAGCTGACATCTGACCCATCAAAGCACACCCACCAACAGAGCGTACAGGAGCAATCCTGCTCTTCCTGATCTGTAAAAACTTGCCTGTAAAACCCTACATGACTGCTTACACTACAGGAAACTGGTAGAAGAAAAGGGTGAAGGAAAGGGGAGAAAAACAAAATAATGTTAAATAAGAAAGCAAGCAGAATTTGCTGAAAATTCTTAATATAAACAAGACAAGTTTTGGAGCTTCAAAAAATGTGGCTTAGAGAATCAGAGAATACGGCTGAAAACAAATAAATGGTGTTCTAGAAACCATGATAGTTCCTCTTGTTTTGCACAAGGCTAGAGAATTGTTCCAACATTTTTTATTAAAACTTTCCTCCTCCAGCAGTGCAGGCAGTAAATCTCAAATTATCTAGTCTTAATTCAAGGGACAGAATATTTCAGTGACATTTCACATATGCACATTGGTGTATGAAACTTTCTTCAGACTCCTAACTTCAAACATTTGAAATTGAAGGATATCTACAAGGGTAATTACTTCTTCTTTTCTCAAATGTATGTATGAATGTGCAGGAACACACATCTTCTGTCAGGCAAAGCTTCAGAAGGACACAAAGCAACCATATACCCCAGTCTGCCTGTTTGGTGTGCTGTTCCAGCAGCTCTCTTCTCCTTGCTTTTAGAGGAAGATTCCTTTCTTGCAAATCCTGCAGTGAGAACAGGCCTGATATTTATTTTTATGAAGACACTGGATTTCTCTTTGGAGAAGCTGAACTGGAAAGCTCTCCTGGGACTGGGGACATAGCATTGTTAGACACATTAAGTTCCAAACTCAGACACAAGAGGTGTACAAGCACCTTTTTCTGAGCAGATTCCATATTCAATAAAGCATGTGCTGAGGGGAATCTCTGCAATACGTTGGCAAAGTATTGTTAAAGAATGCAACTTTAGTTTGAATAAAGCACCACAGTTCTACTAAGGATATTCCAATGCAAAAGTGATTAACCTGTGAGGCAGAGTACTAAGTGCTTTGGAGGTGACTGCTACGAAAATGTTAAAGTGTATGTATTCACAAATTAATCTGCTCTACCTATACTAATACTGCTGCCTCAAAGTGAGCCATTAGGACAAAGTGCATAATCATGTACTCAAGCAATTACAAGTTAATGCAACTTGTATAATTTTTCACATATCTTCTTCTAAAATCAGTTTCTGATAAGATTGAGTCACAAACCCTATGTGAATATGGCTTGAAAATCTGTTATGGTCATAAACTTTATGTTCTTTATTTCTTATAAGTTCAACCTTGAAATCTGATCAAAAAAGACTCTAGAAATACAGCAATAACTCCGTGCTCTGTTAGTACCAAGGGTCCTCATTAACCAATTCAGCACAAAAGAGAGCGGTTTTACATATTTTGGCACTGCCAGTTCTGTAGCCCAAACTCAGCTTTGGAAGGAAAACGGCTCTCCTACCTGACTTCCTCTTTGGTAAAAGAATGGTACAAATTTCAACCCCTGCTCCATACACAGTTCTGGATTCTGCAGCCTGAGATGTGCAACCTCCTGGGGAGCAGCAAAACTGTACTCCTTAAGTTAGAAAAGCAGAATCTTTCCTACTGAGGACACTGTTTATGCAACATTGCATCTGAGTGTTCAGGTATCCAGCTGAGTTTGCTGAGGAGGCAGACGAGCAATCTTTGAAGCCTGCCCGCTGAGCAAACTGCATAGCCTGTCAAACATCCCCACAAAGCTATTTTGTACTGCTGTCTTTCAGGCTCAGCCTAAACACTCATCTGGACCTAAAGAAAACCTTGTTTAAAACTTAAAACTCTGTCACTTCAGGCACAATGTACAACTGCAGTTAAACATATTTTGTTGCAGAATCCCAGCATCACTGAGGAATGCTTCCATTTCAAGATACAACACACCAAATTCAATTTTTCAATTCAGTTCATACCTATTTACATCTTGTGACCTGCAAAACTCTCCTGCCTCTTGATTCTAATCTTCCAGGAATATTTCCTAAACCATTAACATTTCTACTCTGTTTCGTCGCTCTTATCAGACCTCACCAACCTAATTCCACACGAAGATCGTCAGGTCAGACAGTTTCTGTCAAAATTATTTGTAGCATTCATGTCTAGAATCCCTGCATTAGTATCAGTTTGAATCTCCAAATATATCATTCAGCCATTTTAACCATTTTTCTTTTCACAGAATGCAGTTGGACGACAGGGCTAAGTTCCCTTGAACCAGTTTTTTCTGCCATTACTCCACAGTTACTTCTACAAGCAGTCTTACTGTTCACATTCTGAAACCATCTATAGAGGCTGGCAAAAAGAGCTGCATCTAGTTGAATTAAAAGCAGTTCTTTATTAATGACCTTTCCTAACCTCTTGCCCATGTTAACTCACAGCAACACATGGCCAAATCAAAGAAGTCCCAGATCATCTAACTCCAAGACCTTAAATAGAAGCATATGCAAATACTTCTGTGAGAAAATTTCAGTGTAAGATATTTAAAAGCAAAATTTCTGTCCTAAGCCAGCCATGTAGGCTCCTCTTTCTATCACACACAGACAAAAGCGGTTATTTGCCTGAAGAGTTAATTCCTCCATCTAAAGACAAGCTTCCAAAGCAGCAGGACTACCCTCCAGGGGAGCCATGCTCTCCCTACTGACTACAGTGGAAACCAAGATGACTAATACATGTCATGCATCTGCACTTTATACAGTCCATGTACGATAAAAATCCCCTCCCTTATGATCAGTGCTGTTATCATCTCTAGCCTTATTATTTTTGTTCATTTTCTGGCACTTGGTATGATAAAAAACTAAGAATGATTTTACTTATATGCTCATTCGAAGAGTTAAATCCCAATTCTATCATAACTCACTGCACCGCAGGAGCAACCAAGCATCATTCTTACACTACTAAAAGATTCATACAGATCCAAGAGAAAAAAACACTATCACAAGGGTGACTTCTACAACATTCCACAATATGAAAAGAGAAACAAATGCTCATCAGGTAAATTTCTGAATAAACACTGTGCTATTTATGCAACATATATTTACAGGAGATTGAATATAGGCTGTTAGGGGTGAGATATGTTGGCCAATTTATACCCAAACCAGATCAGATCAATAAAAATGGGTCATCCTCTGACACAGAATGAATACATTTCTGGGACTCATGACTGCAAATAAACATGAAAGCTTTCCTAATGTTAAAAAGCTATCTGCCTTTCACCTAAAATCATCAACACTTTTTAAATAAGAAAGCAGAACTTGTGGAAGGAACTTAGAAACGTTATTTGCAGCTCTTGAGTTTACATGACATAATATATTTAACCCAATTATTAGGTACACTATAACATGGGCAAAAAAATCCGGGGAAGGGATTCATTAGCAAAGTAGGAGGCAAAGCAGGATGTCCCACTATACATCCCAGCAATACCTTTACACTTGTGACTGCAGTATGAATTTTACTAGTATAATTGCAACAATTTAGCACAGCGATTATATCTTGGTGGTCATACTTTCATATGATGAAAGTAATAGACAGCACCTTTAGTGATGCTTGTTTACATGTTTTCCTTGAGTATCAACTCAGTTCTGTTTCCTTATTTCCCTTAGCTCAGTTTAAGTATCAAACACTGTGCTTTCCAGAAAGCATAGGCTGCATGTCTTCCATACCAAACCACCAGCCAAGCTCTCAGAGCTGACCCATCTCTAATTCCCCATTTATGAATTAGAGCTTGAATGTGCTCCTTTGGATTCTCCTTTGAACATGAAATAAAATTAAAACAATTAAAGCACTTACAAAGCCAGAGGCCAGAGCATTCCAGTTTACTCTAACAAAGGAGAAAATTGCTAGATTAAATTCCTCAATACTTTTGCTTGAACATAGATGCCAGAAATCTTTACTTCCCTATAGCAAGACTTCTTTTCATATTTTTAAATTTATTTACAAATCAAATATTCTTAAAGTGGGTATGTTTTACAGGATCCTCAAGAGTATCACAAATGACAAACCAAAGAGCTAGAACTCCTTAAGTGATTATATAATCCAAGAGTTGCAAACCACTGGGATTTCACTGTATAACCCTGACTAGGATAAAAAGGAGCCCTGTATTATTAATGCTCTCTCTGCTTTTTTTTTTTCCTAACTCAAGCAAAGGCACTTACTCTGAAAGCTGTTCACTGAAAAGATGTTGGGATGATAGAATCCCTCCTTGCAAATACATTTGTAGGCTCCAAGCACAAATCCAAGACCTTTAATTGGCAAGCACTGTGAGAAAAGAAAAAAGAAAAGTAATGCAAATGATCATACAATGATATACTCAGATGTACATTCAAGCATAAGAAAAACATTACAAAATACAGTGAGCAGACTTCAAAGAGGTGCCCCTACCAGTCTTACAATATCTTCTCCGTGACTTTTCCCATGGCTATATATCACTCCGCTTTTTTTCCTTGCAGTTAATTACTAGCAAACAGCACAGTTTTAAAACAACCTTTCCCAAGACAGTTCAAATAAATGCCAAATAGACTTCTGTCCATGTGAAGCGGGACACAGTTACCAGACTACATCCACAGTAGAGCACAGGCCTATAATTAATCTCAGTCCCAAATTCCACCTCAAACCTGTGCTGAACCAGCCTCTGGAAGACAGGGGACACATCCATCCCAAGCAGTGCCTTCAGAGCACAACTCTGAGCACACTAAGCTGCAACTGTCCTGGCCTCCAAACCCTCACCAGCAGAGCAGAGGGCGTTCAGAGGGCTGGGGCCATCTCACACAAGATGAAAGCGTCAATAGCTGTGGCCCACCTACTGATCTTCTGCAGGCAGCAAGATAGGCTGGGGTCAGGGCAGACCCCCTGACTGGCAACCATAAATTGGTGGAGATTTACGAAGTCGTAACAAAGACAGCGACTGGTTAAACAAAATGGCTGTGGCCTAAACCTGATCAAGATTAATGATAGCAAACAGGTGGGAGTGGGAGCCACACAGTTCTGAGCTCTCTTGCCCCTTTACCAGGAAGTAACATATGAAACAAGTTTTGCTTTAACTCAGATTCATTTTTGCTAATTCCAACATGAAGACCAACACAGCAAATTTATGACAGTGACAGAACATGTACTGTCAGATCGTTTCCATACAAGAAATAGGCTGTGACCCGCACAGAGGAAAGGGTTTGGCAGTAATGAAAGCAGAAATGCTGGCAAAATTATTTCTCCCCAGTAATGCATATATCATTTTACCAGGTCAAATTAGGCTATCATGCTAGATTCCCATCCCATCAGTACAGGTACCAACACACAGCTACCAATTTGCTGCTGTGAATAGGAAGTACACAATCATATTTTCCTCAAGGAAAAACTAAATGATCTAAGTAAAGCACCTTCTGCCCTCTCAATTCTGCCCGCAGTTTCACTCGTTTGCAGCTGACTGTGACTACAGGGTATGTTTAAATCTCTGCCTGCCTGTGGCTGGGAGTAAGGTGCAGAAGGCAGGGCTGAGTAAAAGAAGATCTGAGTTTCAAAAATCAAGGCAAACCAAGAGAGTACTTAAGGAAAAGTCAAATATTCATCTTGAATTTCAGCTCTGTGACATAGTGCTGCCCAACAATGAGAAAGCCACCTTGCTTTTCTTGCCCTCAAGCGGGCAGAGCCATCTCTTCCAGATGCAAGGTGCCAAGCACAGCACATCAGTGCGGCCCAGCGGGTGCTACTGGGGAACAAGTCAGCAGGAAACCAGCACGCACAAACACCAAAAATTCATTCAGCCTTTGTAAACATGAAAGCGGGAAAAAAAGCAAAGAGGAGGCCCAAATCATTTTTCTTCTCACTTCATCTACTGCAGAAACGAGACTGTTGACAAGGGAGGGCTGGAGAAATCAAAATGCATAAATCCAATGACAATAAAGCCTCTTTCAGCCAAGCACAAAAGAAGCAGCTAAAGAAGGAAAAAGAATGCGCAAATTCTGTCATCTCTAGCACCTTTCAGTCATTGTGCTTCAGAAAATGTATTTCAGGGGAAAATTCTGTTCTTGCTTTCTGGCTTCTGCCTTTATAACACGGAGGTACACGTTGCTGCAGATAATGCATTTTCTTTCTGAAGCCAACAAAGAAAAGAGCAAGCTGCAGCTGAATCCTGCAAACACCACAACACCCCCAGGACCACAGCCACAATAATTCTCACTGCACAAAGACTTCACATAAAAATCTGTCACAAACTCATGAATCTGCTCTGTATTAAAATGAACACTTTTTTACTGATGATCCTTTTACATACATCCAATATTCATACTAACAGCAGTTCATAACTTTTCTGTTTTATTGTTCCTAACCAGTACAGAACCTGAGAACCAAGTATTTCAAAAGCTGCTATCTTCTTTGATGTAAGATATTATCCTTGTTTCCAATTCTTGGCAGGTGTAGTGTACAACTTAAGAACCATTGGTCAAAATCTACTTCTTGCAGTCCATATAATCCCATGAAAGGCATAAAAGGCATCAGAAGATCAATCAGTTGAAAGGAAAGGAGGAAAGCAAGCAAGCCTGGATACCTCCAGAAAGCAGTAACAGTTTCACACTGTACTCAGAGACTAGTAATTTTCAATGGAAATAGAGGTATTTACAGTTTATATTTTGTGTAAAGAAATAAAGAAATTGCAGCAGCAAGCCAGGGAAGAATATGGAATATGCTATGGCCAAAAAGGAGGAAAGTATTTCTAAAAAAACTACCCTCTTTTTGAAAATGATTTACAAGTTATTAAGTATTATGGAGATCTTAGTCCTCCTAAGGCTCTGCAGTGTATTAGGGGAAGAAAAAAATAAAGCACTAAAAATGCACCCAGCCTTGGCTGCCTTGACTTTGAATATTTCAAATTTTTCAAAGCACAAGAGCACTTTCAAAATCTGTATTTCTGCATGCGTACACGATAAGGATGACTGCCTCTCCTAAAGTCAATCCTTATTCAAAGACCGGAGTAAGAGTAAAGTAAAGACACAACAGAAGAAGTTTAACAGAAACATTACAAATCAAACCACATTTCCTTGCAGGGGCATACAGCAGCACGGGTGCAATTTCTGGAAGATCCTGTATAAGTAAGGGTTGATTTGTGCCCACGAGAGCGCAGGGGCTCCTTTCTCACTGCTTACTGCACTGTCAGGCACACTGACGTAGGGAAAGGAACATGAGAAGATAGAGTAAAATTCCGTTCACTGAAGTCAGTAACAGCTTTATCATTGAAAAGGATTTTAACTACTGTATTTGCTCACTTCATTTACCCACCACAAGCAAGATTTCATTTTGAAATGTGTCTGCAGCCTCCTCAGATGTCTGCAGCATCCTTGGCCTCGTGTACACACCTGGGAGCCAGCAGCTTGCCTCTGGGCGAACAATGCTACTCACAAGCTTCTTCTCTTCAAATGCACTTTATTTCGAAAGGAAATGATTGAGCTGGTCAATCCATATCCTGCATTTTAGGGTTACTTGGTAGGCTCCCAAGACTTTTATCCTCTCTCCCAAGTGCATCATTGCACTTGGATCTTTTTTTTTAATAAAATTCAAATTTGAGAATGTGTTTCCCAGCAATGACGTACTTACTATAATGATGGTGAATTGCTTAAACCCTGAGTCAGACAAAGTAATAGCTGATCTGATTCAGCTTGCAGCAAAGGCAGGTGAGTAAACTGATGGTTTGAAGCTTTGCTAAAAACTCCATGCTGCTTCTTAATGCCATTTCTCATAATTCTGATTTTGTTTAGCTATAGCACCACTGTAAGTAGTGATAGTAAGGAGTCGCAGCTTATTCACACTAGTAATTAGAAACTACATGTTATCATGAAAGATATTATTAATCTTAGCTATAAGTCAAAACATTCTTGGAACAGAAAAGGCTATTAGTGATATGTATTTTATTAGGTTACTCTGGTTACTAATGATAAATCACAAGCAGAAATATCGATGTCAAATCAGGCACAGTGCTGGCCGGAATCACAGAATCATTAAGGTTGGAAAGACCACTAAGGTCATCTAGTCCAACTGCCAACCCAAGCCAGTGACCGCTCAGAGCAACATCTACTCTTATTGGAAGCCACACACTGAACATTCCACCTTGCAGAGTTTCTAATTCCCTCTTTCTGCAGTGCATAGAAGCACAGTCACCCAGCTGTGTGCCTGAGGAACTTCAAGGAACTTGCTTAGAAGAGAGTAGAGCCAAGTGTCACAGTGTTTGGGCGCAGGTTTCTTGGTGTGAGAGCTCAGCATTAGAAAACTCATCTTCAGCTATTGTCATATGTATGGAAAACCCAACCTCAGCTTACAAATGAAGCTTTCACAGTCCAGACCATGAAAGCACAATAATTACACCAGATAGCTTGGGCACTCAAAGGTTCTGTAGCAATAGCGGTGTGTAAGACAGATTTTTCATTATAGCTGAAAAATACCATACAGACAGGCTACAATCAGGCTACTTTTAGAGAAGAAAGAAAGAAAAAAGATCTCTATAAAACAGATCGGAATTGTTACCATTAACCTGAATATCTTTTTATAACATTCTAAACTTTGCTTCTGATGAATGTGCAAACTGCACTGCGATTACAGGGGAACATGTTAACAGCCACCATAGGGACCAACGATCGTAAAGCCATTAAATCATGCGGTCTGATTAGTTTCGAGGCATTCTGTCAGGGCCAGCTTTCACTGACATTGATGACAAATTAAGACATTTTTACTATTAGAATGGGTTAAACAGTACTAAGAATAAAGCCTTATTTACTTCCTTATAGTCTTATCTGCATTAGAAGGAATTATCTTAACACTAAATCTTTTCTCCTACTGTGAGGACAATTTTGTATTTTACACATAAGCAATACTGGAAATGCCAAACCTTATCTGCAGACCTTCCAGAAGCTGTCAAGGAATACACCAAAATACACGTAGGTCCTTTACCTTAGAACTTCTGGTTCTGTCAACTACTTCTGCATTCATCTGTGACTTGACAGCAAATGTTTCAAAAGTTATCCTTGGGGATGAGCCATGCAGTCATACAGAGGAAAGAGAAAGCTTGCAAACAATGCAAAACTAAGAGGCATTTCCAAAATCCTTCGGTGGAGAAAAAGCTGCACTTGTTTCTGATCCCCGTGAAGGATGGAGTTCTGAGGACCAGGGTACTCTGTCTCACCTAGTCACATTTCCTTAAGTTATCAACAAATCAGCAGGATTTTGCAATGTCTAAAAAAAAATTCCAAACAGATAACTTTTATGTTATTTATTGATGT